CTCCTCCTCCTCCTCCTCCTCCTCCTCCTCCTCCTCCTCCTCCTCCTCCTCCTCCTCCTCCTCCTCCTCCTCCTCCTCCTCCTCCCCCTCCTCCCAAACCAGGGGCGCCTCCCCGAGGAAGCCTGGCTGGACTCCCCGGCTCCCGGCGTGCTGCCGTCGCCGTTTGCGGAGCGGCGGCCTGGCGCGGGCGCGGCGCCGGTCGGCCGGCCGAGAGCTCAAAAGTGCCGCCCAACGGCTGGTTCGGGGCCGGGGGCCCAGAGGGGGAGGGGGGCCAATGGGCACCACCCACCAAACCGCTTCAATCCGAGGCGGGAATCTATACATGACTACCGTCTGGAGGGTCAGTTTTCGGAGCGTCGGCAGGCGGTGGATATGGAAATATTCGGGCCCCCGGGGCACCAGGACGTCGGTTCCCAGGCGGTGGATGTGGATAAATCCCTGCCTCGAAGGAGGGGGGCCAAGGGGCACCACCCACCAAACCACTCCAACCCAACCCGAAGGCCTCAGTTTGTCCTCCATTCAGGGGGCAGCGTCGGGCGACATTGAAAAAACACATGTGGAATCCGCACCCCCCCCCCCAACACCCGAAATGCGGGTCTTCTGGCCAGGTTGGCGTAGTCTAGCAGGTAGTCGAAGGGGCTCTCACATCTGGGGTGTCGTGGGTGGTGGCCTGGGCCCAGCAGGGTGGCTCCAGTTTTGCCATGCGGGCCCAGAGACCTCTGGAGCACCCCTCACAGAGGCCCAGAGGCCTTCCGGGGCCTCAAGACGGTCGGGAAGATGGGCCGCCTCCGGCCAGAACCACCTCGTCCCAGGGCCCGAACACTGTGTCGTCGCGGCGAAGGAGGGGGGAGAAGGGAATGTTAGGACACACTTGCTGTTCCACGGTCCTCGGGAAGGTGGGAACCCATTTTTGGGCGGCCCGAGCTCGACGAGAGCTTGAACACGACGGCGTTGATGTCCCGTTGTGCCTTCCGTGGGCCACGTTGCGGTCAGGAGCGCTTGGTTGGCGTGTCTCGCCGCCAGGCTGACCAACAAACAATCTCATGGCCGGCTCTGGCCCATCGCGCTTCGGTCGAGGCTCAAGGGACGGGAGTCAATGCAAATGGAGGTCACTCAGAGCGCCGGATCTTGCAGGATCTTGAAGGGACAGGGTCGCACTGACTTGGGTCTGGGTGCAGACTACCATGTCCTCATTTTCCAAGCGCAGCGTCCCGAGTTTTCCCCAGTCTCCTGCTCCGCGAAGCGGAGCGACGCGCTATCAACCCGCAGGGCATACTGTAGCGTGTCGCCAGGGCCGCCGCCGCGACACGCTGAGCAAAAGTTCCTAGCCGTGCGCCCTCCCTCACATCTGGGCGTCGCGAAAAGACCACGACGGGCGTTTTTGGATTGTTTCGGTCCCAGTGCCCCTCTCGGATCGCTCCTGCTCTGATAAGTTCTGGTCGTGATTTCTCATGACGCCGTGCTGCTCAGGGGGAGGAGGGGATGCCCCAGTAGCCTCAATAGGGTTCGCTGAAGCGCTTCGGGGCCAGGGTCATGGGAGTCATGGCCATCAAGGGAACCGCGGAATTTCGACTGGAGGTTGAGAGCGAGACAGCGTCCACGAGGCCGGCACCACCGGGACATCGTGCTTGCGTATTGTGTGTCGTGCGCGCGGAGTTGTGCCCGAGTTGCCAGGGTGTTGGGGCATGCGGTAGCAGTTTGCCGTCTTGCTCATGGTGTTGCGGGCGGGTGGGCCAGCGATGTCCGGGCGTCCTGCATCTGCAGTTGTGCGTGGGGTGCACTGGCGTCGTGGTGCTTCGCTGTTCTGGGATATTATAGTGTCATGTTTTTTTCCTGTTTGCTTGCGTTGTCGTGGAAGGCGGTGCCGTTCTGTCATGGCGCCGTGGCGAATGAGGATGAGATATAGGCGATGACGACGATGATGTTCGTGGCGACCGTGCTGATTGATGAAGGCTGGCCGATGATGGTGGTGTTGATGACGCTGTTGCCGCCTGCTGCATGCTCGCGGCCGGCTGGCCTGAACAATTCTGTCGCGTCAAGGAGGGTGCGGGAACGGTGCGAATATAGATCGCCGTTTTGTCTGTATACACGCATGTTTACGTACATGCGTATATACATACTGTCGAGCATATGATTAAGAAACCTCCTCCCGACAAGCTGGGCCAGCGTATCTTGACCAACTTGCCGGGAAGTCGGCCCAGTTTCTTTAGCACGTTCGTTCCTCTGGCGCTCACGGCAGAAATTGTCCCAGGTTTGCTTTGATAAATCTCCAGGAAGCTGGCCCAGATTTTTTCCCTACCTAGGCTCTGCCTAGAAGGGTTCTTACTCTCTTAGCTTAAAGGGGCCGGGCAGTGCTACACGCCCCGGGCGGTTCCCCCGGTCCCCTGGGAGCGGTTCCCCCAGTCCCCTGGGAGCTTTAGCTTTAGCTTTAACTTAGTTTCAGCTTAGCTTTACCTTATTTTTAGTTTAGCTTTAGCTTTAGCTCAGCTTTAGCTTAGCTTTAGCTTAACTTTAGCTTAACTTTAGCTTAGCTTTAGCTTAGCTTTAGCTTAGCTTTAGTTTAGCGTTGGCTTAGCTCTAGCTTAGCTTCAGCTTAGCGTTAGCTTAGATTTAGCTTTAGCTTTAGCTTAGCTTCAGCTTAGTTTTAGCTTTAGCTTTAGCTTTAGCTTAGCTTTAGCTTAGCTTTAGCTCAGCTGTAGCTCAGCTGTAGCTCAGCTTTAGCTCAGCTTTAGCTTAGCTTTAGCTTAGCTTTAGCTTAGCTTTAGCTTAGCTTTAGCTTAGCTTTAGCTTAGCTTTAGCTTAGCTTTAGCTTAGCTTTAGCTTAGCTTTAGCTTAGCTGTAGCTTAGCTTTACTGTTACTACTAATGCTGCTTTCCTAGGGGCTCCAACTCCTAGGTAGGGTCGCACTGGGATAATTGTTTGATCAGTTTTTTGATCATATCTCGGCTGTATGTTGCGTACCTGTGTATTCTATGAAAACAGACGTAACCTAGGGCGGCCGCTGGCGCCCCGCCCACTATTGGAATCCAGAACGGGTGACGAGATCATCACGGTCCCCACATCGGCCACAGGCCGCTGAGGTGATCGTACGATCGAGCCCCCTGCACTATTCCACAACCGGAAGAAAGGACGCCTTTGATAGACAGATCGTGCCCACCTCGAGACAAATCAAAGAATTCGTTCTCGCGCATTTTCACAGGGAGGTGACGACGATGATCACTACGATGACGATAATGGGCCTGATCTTGATGGCGATAGCGGTGCTGGCCACTGTCATGATGGTGATGTAGGAGATTTTGAAATCAAGACGCGACCGGAAGCCTCAAGAAGCGAACAGAAGTAACAGGAAAAGCGGCGCGGATGATGCCAAGGGAAATCGTAACGAGGCCGAGGATGAAAAGCAACACGCGCACCTTACGGATTCTGATGCCAACAGCTACAGCAAGCGCAGACACCTTTCCGGGCTTGGTGCGGCCAGCCTTGCGGTCGAAAGGGAGTCACCTCAACGGTGCGACGAGGCGCGCATCAAGTCCATCAGGGCAGGGGGCAGAAGACGCTGATGCTAGCGATAGTTATGGTGGTGAGGAGGGTGGCGGGGGACAGTCGAAACCATTCCTTGACATGTGGAGATGTCAGTCGTTGCGGAACGCGTGAGACACGTGATGGTTCACGGTCACCCTCAGCTACAATCCCCCTTCCATCCGAAGGCAGGTATCGTGCGACATGCGTGCATCAGCGCGTCGTGGCATGCACTTTGCTCCTCAAAGTCTGGCAGAAGCGCGAGGAGCGTGCAATCGAGCAGAGCACTGCTTTCACGGGATGGTCACGCACGGGACCAGGAAAGAGAACCGTTGAATGTGAAGAAACCGGGGGATCCATAAATCTTGCGATTGCAAAGCGCCAGGGGAGACAATCTCGGCAGCGGAGAAGACGTAGCTGCATATGTTGGAAGCGGGCAGCTCAATACCAGAAGCATTTCCCTCCCAGCCTATTTTGGAACGAGCGCGCTCGTGGCACACTTCTCCTTCTCACTTCAAGGGGGCCCCAGCTTTAAGCTCCCCCTCCCCCCTGTAAGGGTTTCATCTCCGTGCCATGGAACAAGGCTCGCGGAAGGGTTTTTGGGATTATCAGATAAGTTTTTGCGGATTGCAAGTTGATTCCCTTTGTGGCAGATTGCACATTGATTCCTTTTGTGGCGCATTACAATTTGATTCCCAGTGCGGCGGATTACGAATTGATTCTTTGTCTTGCGGATTCCAAAAGGATCCCTTTTGTGGCGGATCTACAAATTGATCCCTATTGTGAGGCCTTCAAATGGAATTCCGTTGTGTCGGCTCAGACGGACGGGGAATGGGGGCCTGGCTGACGAAAAAGACGAAGAAGACAACCAAGACAAAAAAAAACCTGGGAAACCAAAAACGCTGTGTTTCTAAGTGTAAAGGGTTTTTTTTACATTAAAAGCAAAACAACAAAAAGCCATCTTGGAAGCAAAGCAAACCTGTGTTGTTTACCGTGTTTGCGCATTTACATAGTGATTCGTATTGCGTTCGTATTGCGGCGCCTTCACATAGAGTTCCTTTGTGCCGGCTCAGAGGGACGGGGAGTGGGGGCTGGTCAACGAAAAAATCACGCCCCCAACAAAGCCAACCTGGGGGACAAAAGGCGCTGTGTCTCCGTGCCCTGGAACAAGGCTCGCGGAAGGGTGTTGGGGATTCCCAGGTAAGTTTTTGCGGGGTGCAAGGCGATTCCTTTTGTGGCGGATAGCACATTGATCCCTTTTGTGGCGCATTACAAATTGATTCCCAGTGCGGCGGATTACAACTTGGTTCTTTATCTCGCGGATTCCAAAAGGACCCCCTATCGTGGCGGAACTACAACTTGATCCCTATTGTGAGGCCTTCAACTAGAATGCCTTTGTGTCGGCTCAGAGGGACGGGGGGTGGGGGCCTGGCCGACGAAAAAAACAAAAATAACAAAAACACGAACCTCGGACACCAAACGCGCTGCGTTTCTATCTGGGAAAGTTTTTTAGCAAAAAACTTGGAAGCACAGACAACCTGTTTTTTTACAGTGTTTGCGCATTTCCATGTTGATTCGTATTGGGGTGTCTTTACATCGAATTCCTTTGTGTCGGCTCAGAGGGACGGGGAGTGGGGGCCTGGCCGACGAAAAAGACAAAAAAGACAAAGAAAGCCAAA